TTTGACAGTTAGTTTTAGAATGTTTTAAATCACTTCAGAAATACTCTGTGTCCGTCCAGTAGTAGTTATTCCTATCCAACTCTCACAGTCTTGGGCTGCCATTACATCTACTCTCTGTGTGTAGATTGGCCTAATCTGAATAACACATGTAAAAGGTGCCACACAATCTGTGTGGTTTGTGTTCCTCTTACAGTCTTGTTTGCAGAAGCACCTAAGGAGTTTGAGGGAATATGTAGTTTTCCAAATTGAGCAAGTATTTTGTGTAGTTGTTATCTGCCCAGGGAAAGCGAGTTTTGAAGTCAGGATGGCTTAGCAGGCTCCTGGGATAGATCCAGTCAGCATCACCATTCAGAGCTATCCATCTTTGTGATAATATGAGCCGAGCCTTCCCCCCTGCACCTGCTGAAAGGCTCTACAGATCATTTGGCAACATGCTAAGGGATCATGTGGAGGTCACTGCTTTGATCAAATAGATTTCTCCTTTGCTCAAATGGATTTCAGGAGAAATCTAAGTCTGGGGGGGGGGCATGTGCAAATAGTTACTTTGCAAAGTTAGTGTTTTATTACGAGATGTTCTTTGAGTAAGAGTTTCCCTGTTGAGCCAGTTCCCCTGTGTCCTGTGTCGTACCCAAGCATGGAACAGAGTGTGGTTCAGCTTCATCTCTCTGTGTGTCTTATTGGCTACATAGCACCCCAGCTGCAGCCATCTCCTATGAAGAGCAGAAGGCACCTTGATGGATCATTTGGATCCTGCTGCTAGAGGGATTGATTGGTGTGTCCTGTTTCCTTGAAACCTGTGATGATCCAGAAGTTGCCACATTTTCAAATTACAAAGGAAATTACTAAATGGAAGGGCAAAGGTCATGTGTAGGTTATAATACAACCCAGCATGACAAAGTTAAAAAAACTTACAAGTACTAACCACCAAAAACTAAATTAACCTAACTAAACACAGGCTCTTCACCTTGTATGTGCTTCTTCTTGCTATCTGCCGAGTAAGGCTGGCACTTCCTTAATTCCCCAGATAAACTCTAAGGCAAAACAGCTGCATTCTGGAAGAAAAACTTCAAGTGGCAGTCAGACAGCCCTTGGTAGTTGTCTGAGGAGTGCCTAGAAGGAAGATAAACTTGACCAGTTTATCTGAACCCAGGGCTGTAGGAAGTGGGGCTGTGCTCTTAGCCATTGGTGCCCTTTTGTGGAAGAGTGGGAGTAGTTAATGCTGCCTGGTGGAACTTCACCTTCAGCATTATAGGAAGAGAAAAGAAAAGAAAAGAAAAGAAAAGAAAAGAAAAGAAAAGAAAAGAAAAGAAAAGAAAAGAAAAGAAAAGAAAAATCTCAAAGGAGGTGTCCCAGTAAGGGTTTCTATTGCTGCAATGAAACACCATGACCAAAGCAAGTTGGGGAGGGAAGGGTTTATTTGGCTTATGCTTTCACATCACAGTTCATCATTGAAGGAGGCCAGGACAGGAACTCAAACCGGACAGGAACTCAAACCGGACAGGAACCTGGAGTCAGGAGCTGATGCAGAAGCCATGGAGGGTGCTGCTTAGTGGCTTGCTCCCTATGACTTGCTCAGCCTGCTTTCTTATTAGAACCCAGGACCCCCAGCCCACGGGGTCCCACAATGAACTGAACCCTTTCCCAGCAATCACTAATTAAGAAAATGCCCTCAGCTGATCTTAATGAGGCATTTTTCTCAATTGACGTTCCTTCTCAAGTCATTCTAGCCTGGGTTAGGTTGACATAAACCTAGCCAGCACAGAAGGTATTTTAGAATTCCTTTGTTTGAAGAATTAGAAAGAAGGAAGGAAGGAAGGAAGGAAGGAAGGAAGGAAGGAAAGAAGAAAGATAGAAGGAAGGAAGAAAAACTGACAAACATAAAATAGTGTTTATTAGCTTATGTATCCAAAATAAATAGGTAAGTAGGAGCAGTTAGACCTGGAAGCTCAGGATCAATCAGGGTTTTTCCCTTTCCCTCCTCCCTTAGCTTGGCTCTATTTTGGTATCTTGCTGGGTGGGTATCATAGTGGCCACCGGAAACTCCAGGACATTAATTTAAACAAAGGGGTGGCGGCTACCTTTTCATGGAGTTCCAACCTGGGTTCTGGGACCTAACCTCCTTGCCCATTCCTGAATGAATCATTATGGTTGGGATGGGGCAGAGTTTTGTAATTTGCCACCCTGGGGTATGAGTCCCACCCAGAGGGAGGCAGGTGTGTTATTAGCACACTTGAATAGGGAATGGGAAAGGGGAAACTACCGATTCCCAAGGAACCTCAGGGTGGTTCCAGGAGAGAGTAGATGATGTGCACAGCCACACATCTGAGCGTGTTTAGCCAGAATACTATGTCTGAGGAAGTAAATCACTTTTCTGCTACAGACTAGAGAGAGAGAGAGAGAGAGAGAGAGAGAGAGAGAGAGAGAGAGAAAGAAATGAACAAGGCAGGAGAGACACCAGGGTAAGATGGCTTCAGGAATGCTAGATATCAGAGTTTTATACAGCAAACCCCATTTTCCCCATTGTTCATGACAAAGTAACAACTCTGCTCCTACAAGGAAAGAGCCCCCTGGATCTGAGTGTGAGCCCCTGGATAAAAGTAGCTGCGGTGAAGGCTCGCAGGCCACCAGTGATAGCGAGCTGGCTGGGGTTGCAGCTGCCCCGTGCCAGTTCACCTTTCTTTGAGGTTTTTCCAGAATCTTGACGCTATTTCCCTTCTCTTTCTTAGTAAACAATTTATTTACATTTTCCTTAAGCTAGAATATCCCCTGATTCTATCTGGGACCCCCAAAGACTTCTTCATCAGCTTACACAACAGAGTGCTGCATCTCTTCCTGCTGCAGCCTGAAGCTCTGCATGAGCAGAGCTGCTGCTTGTGTGAGGTGTGAGCCCACATGCAGGGGCTTCCTAAGCTCCTTGGAAACAGGGGTGGGGGGAAGATAGACAAGAGGCTGGGAAGGCAGGTGCAGCCCTCAGCGGGTGCAGTGACGACAGTGGACATGAATGTAATCACAGCCTATACGACAGAAAATAATATGCACACATTCCTGAAGATAGTCAGATTAAACAACAGAGTGGCAAATCTAAATAAAAATACTGTAGATCCTTGAGTGTTGCTTATGCTTACTCCCTCCCTGTCCTCTATGAATTTCGGGATTTCTATCATAATTATTTTTGAGCCATTGTAGCTGCCACCGCCACCACCATTACCACCTCCTCTTCCTTCTCCTCCTCCTGCTTTTTCTCCTCCTTTCCTTTATGGCTTTTGGAACAGTTTCACTTAGCAGCCCAGGCTGCCTTGGGATCTGGTATATGTAGCCCAGACTGGCCTCAAACTTGTGGTCCTTCTGAGTACTATGATTACAACCACATGTGGCTCTTCGAGCCATTTTTACTCATTCATTCATTGAGTCATTGAGCAAATACTTATTGAACACCTACTGTGTGCTGGCCCGTTTCTAGGGGATACAGTGGGCAATAAAACAAAATCCTTGGCTTCGTGCAGTTTGCATTCTAAGAAAAAAAGAACAAACAATCCATAAGGGCTTATGTGAACTGAACAGCAGCACTGTGTGCTAAGAAGAAAATAAGCCAGGCAAGAAGGGTCAAGTGCTAGTGGAAGGAGGCTGCCACTTAATGTTTAAAAACAGGATATGGCTAGGCGGTCTGGAGCAAGCTGGCAGCCTTCTCCAAGGAGAAGCCCCTGCTCTAACAGAGGAGGTGAGGCCCAGATACAGGGGCAGAAGCAGATTGCTGTAATAAATATCTAAAAAAACAGCCAGGTGGTGATGGCATACACTGTAAATCACAATACTCTTGAGGCAGGCAGATCTCTGTGAGTTGGAGGCCAGCCTAGTCTACAAAACAAGTTCCAGGACAGCCAGGGCTATACAGAGAAACCCTGTCTAGAGAAACAAAACACAAAAAAATTAAAAAACAAACAAAACAATAACAACAAAACCCCCAAACAACTAGGTGGGCAGAATTGCTCAGGACAAGGGAGCAAAGGATAGCATGTTCAAAAAGGCCTCCTTGGTTCTTGGATCATGGAGAGAGGGTAGGGCAAGAGGGAGCATATTCAGGGAAGGGGAAAAGGGAAGCCCATTGAGAGGTCAGGGCAGAATGAAGGGGCCTGATGTGCATGTTAAAAAGTTGTTCCCACTGTGGTAAGGAATAAAGACAGAAGCAGACAGAACAATTAAAAGGTTGCTGAGAAAAAGCAGACCTGACATTGAGGACCTGAGAGGTTGAGGTAAAAGCAGGGAGACTTCCAAAACATGCAGCCCTCGTTTTTCTGGCTGGGGTGAATGTGGAGCTGGGCTCAGATGTGATTGCACTCTTGTTCGTACATACTGTGGAGGCCTAGTATGGATGGGGGACGGGATCCAGGAAATCAACTGTAAGCTGAGATCTAATACCTGTCATGAAAATGTATCCTTAGGAACAATGCTCTCACAGTTTCAGTTTTACAAGGGACATCACACTGTATTGAAGAGCTGTAGTAAAGGCATGGAGCACTGCTGTGCTTTGGGCTGACGATCATGGTGCAAAGCCAGCCATGACTTGTAGTCATCTAGCCTATACTGGATTTTCCATAGCCCAGAGATCATAGAATGTCAGTAAGAGTACATTAGAGCCCTGCCTAGGATTAGCAAGTCTAGGAATTTGGATGCCTAGTCACCACCTTCCACTTACAGAGAGCAGCTGTGACCTTAAGAGCTACAGTGTAGGTGTGGGCTGGTGAAATGGCTCAGAGAGTAAACCTGATGGCCTGAGTCCAATACCCAGGACGCAGGTGAAAGGACAGACTGGCTCTTGCAACTCATCCTCTGATCTACACACACACACACACACACACACACACACACACACACACACACACACATTAATAAATGTAAAAATAAATAAATCTTCGTATTCACCCCATCACATGCATGATATCTAGATTTACTTGCCTTTCTGTCCTAAATAATGAGTTCCGTCTTTCTGTTTTGGACCTCAGGGGTTGCCCTTCTCTCAGATGTGTACCCTGAAGAAATCTTGGTTGACCTGTTGGCCAAATACGATAGTGGCAAAGAGAAGCACACTCCAGAGACCAGAATGAAAGTTGGAGAGGTCCTGATGCGAATTGTCAGAGCATTAGGTGAGTTTTTTGTTTGTTTTTCATCTCATCCTCTGAAACAAAGCAGTGTGGTTTTAAAATCTTTGTGTATTAGAGGGCTCATCCTACTAGCAGATCAGGGGTGGTGACGAACTGTTTAGGAATTGCGCACATATTGAGCAAGTAAAACTGAGAAGATTGTTTATTTTCCTATAGCTGCTTAGTTTCCCTCCCGAAGAGCTGTTTCCCTGGGGTCTATGTGATTAGAATGGGCTCTTGATTGCAAACCAGGCTGGCCTAAGATACACTCAACAGTTCAGGCAGGCCTCCATCTCACAGTCTGCTCCCTCATCCTAGAGTACTAGGATTATAGATACACCCCACCATGCCCAACAAGTCCTTTAAACAGGCTGTTGTTAGATCCAGGATGAATGAAATGTGACTCAGACCTTCAGCAGTTTGTCAGGGTTCCTTCGCCAGAGAGTGGTACTGCTAGAGCTGAAGCACCCTGAAGGAGTTGCTCCCTGCCTACAGACTGAGAGTGGTGATTGTCTTTCCTGGATTCAAATACTGAGCTGCTTCTAGCTGGTTGAGTGATCATGGGAATGTTTCTTTGCTTCTTGGTGCTTTAGTGTTCACATGTATAAAAGAGGATATTCATACTAAATAAGGTCATATTTTGAATAATAAAATTAAAGGGAATCAACTGGACCTAGTGGTACAGAACTGGAATCCCAGCTACTTAAGAGCCTGAGGTGGGGGATCACAGTTCAAGTCCTGCCTGGTTTACAGAATGAGTTCAAGAACAACCTGGGTAACTTAGTGAAACCCTATTTCAGGAGTTAAAAGAGGGATGGGGGAATGTAGCTCAGTGATAGAGTGCTCGCCTAAACTGTATGAGGGCTTGGGTTTAATCTCCAGTACTGCAAAAATAGCCAAAACCAGAAACATAAGGGGGCACTGGAGAGGTGGCTCAGCTCACATCAAGCAGCCAGGTCATTTTCTGCGATGGGAGATAAAGGATGGGCTTACTGGAGAGAGGCTCTGCTCCTCTGCAGGTATCTGTAGTTAACCGTGTTTCCCAGGCAGCCCTGTCATTTCAAGGCAAATCCCATGAATTCTGGCAGCTCTACTCCCTGCACCTCACTTTTCTGAGTTTCCAGCCTCGAGCACAGTCATAGCTTTAGTTTGCTTGTTTGGGTTTTTTTGAGACTCTCTCTATGTAGTCCTGGAATTCACTCTGCAGACCAAGCTGGCCTCAGGCTCACAGAGATGTACCTGCCTTGGCCTCCCGAGTTCTGGGGTTAAAGGGTGTTCCATTCCTCCTGGCTAGTCACAGCTTTAACTGTCTCATTCACATCCTGGGTGCAGCATCCATAATCTGAAAATTTAGACTCCCAAATGGTCCAAAATCTGAACTTTTTGAATACTTCTTATGATGTCATAACTAGAAAATTCCATACTACAAAACTTTGTTTTATTCAAAAAACATTTTAAGTAAAATTACTTTCATTTTATGCATACAAATGGTATACAAAACAAAAATGAATTTTGTGTTTATACTTATACATATCCAGATATTACAAAACTCAGAAAATTATGAAATCTGAAAGACTCTGGTCCTCAGCTTCTTGGATGAGGTGCAGTCACCTGTGCCAATGTGCTGGGTGCATAGAGCAAATGACTTAAAGTCCTTTCAAGGGAAATAGGGCTTATTCATATGGCACAAGCAGTGTTCTTATTTTGCTAATGTTGTGGAGGTCCGTGTGAGCACCAATGTGATGACGCTTGCCTAATGCACACCCCAGTTGCATTCAGGGCCTTACTCCTTCTTACCCTCAGCAGTGTGTAGTGGTGTGAAAGGAGCTAGGATTCAGTACAATGCCCCTCTCTTGGCCTCATCCTCTAGCTCCTAGCTGTACAGGGTGGTGGTGGGAGAACTCAACAAGAGTTCATTTCTCCTTCTATTTTAAAACTTGGACTGGATGTGGTGGCAGAGGCAGGCAGATCTCTGTGAGTTCAGGACCAGCCTGGTCCATATATTAAATTCCAGGTTATCAAGGGCTATATATTGGCAGCTATCTCAAAAATCAAAGCAAAACAAGCAAAAACAAAACAAGAACCCTTCAAGGTATTCTATATAACCAGCAATGTTTATAGTACACTAATATCAAGAGTACAATTTTATGACATTCAGTTTACTTAACTACTATTCAAATTAGAAATGACCCCCCAAAACTTCCTTTTGCCCTTTCTAGTCTGTGCCTGCCCCAGAGATAAGCAATCTTCTGAATTGTTTTTTTATCATTTTCAGTTTACTTTGATTGGTTTCTTTTTTGTTTTGTTTTTGTTTTTCGAGACAGGGTTTCTCTGTAGCTTTGGGGCCTGTCCTGGAACTAGCTCTTATAGCCCAGGCTGGCCTCGAACTCACAGAGATCCACCCGCCTCTGCCTCCCAAGTGCTGGGATTAAAGGTGTACACCATCACCGCCCAGCCACAGCAACTTCTTACCTCTGCAAAATCCTCAGACTGAAAAAAGGGCCAACCTCCTGTCTCCTCCCTCTTTATATTTCTCTCTCTGCTGAGCCATTTCACTTCCTCTCTGTCTGTACAGACCTCTAGACCTCTACGGTTAGCTAATGGCTAGCTCCACTCTCTGATCTTCCAGCAAGCTTTATTTGTTAGAGTACACACAAGATATCACTGCCTTTACCCTTTTTTGTCTAAAATAAGAAAGAAGGTTATAACTAATATAAGAAAAACTATGTACAATAAGTATAATATATATGCTATATACAGGCAACAAATACATCAGCAATGTCTAGTTCATTAGCAGTTGACAGATTTAGAAAAAATACACCATGTCTCTCCTATCTTGGTAAGTCCTAAAGGTTGTCTTTAATTCACTTTATTCTAACTTACATTACCAAAACTATATTTTTATGTCTCTTAAATTTATACACTTTTACAACTCTTTAGTGAATTTCTTTTCTGAATCTGGCGATAAGGAAAACTATAACTATAAAGTCTTCAACTCTGTCACAGACCCAGGAAGGAAATAATATTACCTGAGTAAATGGGAAGTGCAAGCAAGTAACTTCCAAAAGTTATGAGAAATGATAGAAAAAGCTGACTGCCTGGATAGTCACCCATGGTTTCTCTGCAATATTGGGGCATCCATCTTCAGCCTATAAGCCTAGCATGTCTGACTGACTTTTTGTGAAACAGGATATTCTGAAGGGCTATCCTACCTTGTCTTGGCAAAATTTGATAGAGGTAGGTGAATCTCTGTGAGTTTGAGGCTACCCTGGTCTACAAAGTGAGTTCCAGGACAACCAGAGCTGTTACACAGAGAAATCCTATCTTGAAAAACCAATGGGAGAAAATAGATTCAATAATCTGCTCTTATATCCTATCATATCTCCCTTTTTTCTTTTCAAAACAAGAACTCTGAATCTAATCTCCTTTGTTCAACTTTTTTCCTAACCATAACCATTAACAACTTGTAACCAACCACCCTAAATGATGGCAATTATCCATAACCCATTGAATGACCAAAACCTACCCACCCTATCTCTTGGGAATGTGGGCATCAAGTACTTAAATTTACTTCCTGCAATCTGGGGGTGATGGCATCTTTAGGGGATGCTGAAAAGAAAAATTTGGGTTAATGGTCAAGTCCTAGAAGAGATAGCTGTATCATTTCTTCTCCAGTCTCTGCATAATGGGAGAGTGAAGGGTTTTGTCTCAAGTTCTGGCTAGAGTAGTCTGAGGCTGGAAAATCTCAGCTAGCCACCTCAAAGTTGCCCTTTAGATGATGTTTGTCAGCTTAGTGGTGTTATCATAGTTCTGGAGGAATCATTGTGGGTCCCCATTCTCCTTTTGGAGATTTCAAAGGTTGCTTTTAGGCATGTTCATGGTTCACCACAGAAAACTGATAGAGACTCAAACCTGAAATCATGTACAGAAAGTTAGATGAAACCTTTTTCTGGAATTAGTTAGTACTCTATATGACCAATAATATCATGACAAAAAGTTTAATTAATGTATATATATAAATATTAATCTTACAAATTTACATTGTACATTAGCATTTTCAAAAGCCAGACATTCAATAATTATTTATCTAGCTTCTGAATTTGATATCATTCTATTTACTACTAAAGTCAGTCTTTGTAAGAATTCTGTGAAGGTTTCCTTTGGGCCCTGTATAACTTTAGTAAATGACTCACTTTTCTTTCCTACTTCTCTACTTCTGTCCCCAAGCATTCAAAGCTGCTGTACAACCTAAAGTCAAGGCATAGTCATAATAGAAAGATTGCCTTTGTACATTAGCATAATTTGCCTCTCCATGAAGGTGGTCTTGGGAGATTTCCATACCTCTAGCCCTACTTCATTGTTCAATGGTCTTAGCCTCATCTTTCCACCAGATCCTCCATTGTAATTGAGGACCAGGCTTCAAGACTGCTATAACCAAGTCTTTCCAGTCTTGAGGGATAATTCTATTATACGTTGATAATTTTATTATAAGTTCAAATCTGCTTCACAAAAGGTGAATGCATATAATATGAGACTGTTGCTTTCTTGAATCTCCTTAAATCTAACATTTCCACAGGAGTACCTTCAGCTCTTGTACAGCCTTTGGGATATCTATCATTTGATAGTTGTTCCTGTAAGGATATATTAATGTTGGTTGTTTGAAAACCTTAGATTGTTTCTCTCTAACCTTAAAGTGCGATGATGAGATTGTTTCCTCTTTAAATTCCTTTGTCTGGATCTGAATATCTTTATGATTTGTTTTGTTAAGTTTTTCTAAAACTTGCATCTTAGCAGTCGGATTAACCAACTTTTTTTAAGTGATAAAACAAAATTTATATATCTGATGTTTCTAATTGACATTATATAAATTTTATCTAAATTAGTTATCCTCTCATTTAATTGTCCCATTTTCAAACCAGTGTATTATCATACAAAGACCTAACTCCCTCCATTGTAACAGTGTTTCCCATTTTTTAATGTGGGAAAAAAACTTTCTCTCTTTT